AGCAAGTTGGGTTGCAACGGTCAAACGACCGAGCAAGTTGGGTTGCAACGGTCAAACGACCGAGCAAGTTGAATTGAGGTGGTTATACAACCACAACGGCCGAATGACCGAAAAAGTAAAGTATCAGTATGGTCAAATGACCAGAACAGTAGAGTATGAGTATGGTCGAATGACCGAAAGGAGGAGAATATCAGTATGGTCGAATGACCGAAAGAGTAGAGTATGAGTATGGTCGAATGACCAGAACAGTAGAGTATGAGTATGGTCGAATGACCGAAACTGTAGAGCATGAGTATGGTCGAATGACCGAAACTGTAGAGCATGAGTATGGTCGAATGACCGAAACTATAGAGCATGAGTATGGTCGAATGACCGGAATAGTAGAACATGAGTATGGTCGAATGACCGAAAGAAATAAAGTATCAGTATGGTCGAATGACCGAAACAGTAGAGTATGAGTATGGTCGAATGACCAAAAGGAGTAAAGTATGAGTATGGTCAAATGACCGAAAAGAGTAGAGTATGAGTATGGTCGAATGACCGAAACAGTAGAGTATCAATATGGTCAAATGACCAGAACAGTAGAGCATGAGTATGGTCGAATGACCGAAAGAGTAGAGCATGAGTATGGTCGAATGACCGGAAGAGTAGAGCATGAGTATGGTCGAATGACCGGAAGGAGTAGAGTATCAGTATGGTCAAATGATCGAAAGGAGTAGAGTATCAGTATGGTCGAATGACCAGAACAGTAGAGTATGAGTATGGTCGAATGACCGAAAGGAGTAGAGTATCAGTATGGTCGAATGACCGAAACAGTAGAGTATCAGTATAAAATGCAACCAAAAGGCTGGGTGAAAGTAATGATTAAAAGATCTGCAACCATGAAGCATATGCAAGTGAGACAACTTTCACATAAAAGATGATGAAAAATGAAGAGAGGTTAAGAAACTTCCCTGAACATGTGGTGGATGTCCTTACTTTGCAAGAGTCAAGTGTCCTCTGTGTTGTGCATCCATTGATAGGCTCAATAACATGTTTTGCATAAAGTTCAATGACTTGGAAGCATCTCTAGTTCATTGGGGAAAATTTTCGAATCATTGCAAGATGAGGTAGGCACCCTGACCATTGAATCAAGCTTTTGCTTTTCTCTGCAACTTTCATTTCATTTTTTTTTTTTTTTGGTAGATTTGTCAAGAGATTTTAGCAATTATATTAACTGAAATAAAGCATCATAACCAATCAGCCTCCCAATCTAAACAAGGAAAAGAAAGCCAGGGCATGGATAATATGTATGGATAGAAAGAGATAAACATGATTTTTGAATTGCACAACTTTTGATGCAACAATTTTAACAAAGCTAGAAGGCATTCAGGCTATAAAG